ACTATACAAAATAAATAAACGCTATAACTGTATTAGTATTTTCGAAATGAAACTACTTGGAGAACTAGCTAAGAGGGAGCTGAAAATCCTGAACCTTTTCAGATTAAAGTAAGAAACTAATAAGAGAATAAAATTCGGAAAATATCAACATACTTACAAAATACTAGGAAATACATTGAGGTTCTAAATTATAATAAACTTATTTGCACAAGGACAATATTATTATTAATAAAATTTTGTCAGCTATAACGCTGCATTGACGATAATACTTCATAAACATCAACGGTTGATAATAATACGTTCACAATGTTACAGACGGGTAGCTGAAAGCTGGCGGAGATACCTGCACAACATGCAGCCATGCAACGAACAATTCTATTTAAATTGCGTTTTGAAAATGGAAAAGTAGTAAATTTTTACAACTTGCTTAAATTTTCAAAAAGATAAAAACCGGGTGCAAAAGCGCAACTTTTGTAGTTTCGGAAGCGGAAGCGTCTATCTCGTCTATTTCTTATTGATATAATTTCGATTCTTTAATATAATTTTAATTTGTAAAATTTGTTTTAAACAACAGTTAGTTCTAAAGAGAAACAATGGTACTGTGTATAACACAAGCAACCCATAGGATACTAGGAGATGCGTACAGTATAAATAATTATACGCTTCATAACTAATCTACGATTACAGGTAGGATTTCTTGCTACGGTTTACCGATTTAACATTTGTGCTAGCCATTCATACACGCACGTGCGTGATACGTTTCGCATTTATTTTTAAAGTATGACCCATTTAGTTCAGAACGGATAATTATAAATACGACTAGAGATGTAAACAACTAGATGAAAATACTACTACGATTATTGCACTTTGCTCGCTTTCATTTTTCTGCCATTATAAAAGTTATTATTAGGTAACCCGAGAAAAAAACACCAAAATTTTGGCAGAATCAAATAACAAATGTTACTTCGTAACAAAGAACTTCAAATTGTTTTACTGTAGATACATTAAAAAAAAATATTTTCTTACTTATTAATATTTAGTTAAATCAACAAAAAAAATACAACGTGTAATTATACAACACGCTACTGAAGTGAAATTTCTTCAAACACACAAATATACCGGGATAGGGGTTAAGGAATTGGTTTAATGGTACTATTTGTACACTATGCTTCGCACGGGTGCAATTCTGATAGTAAATATACTATAGAATGTCTTTATATACAACAATCACAGCTTTTTTGCCATTAGATAATGCAAATCGGCCGGTACCGCCACAACCGCTATGTCCCTGCATTTAAAGTCTGTAATATCTTCGAAAATATTCATTTAAATTACATGCTGTAAAGGACCATATTGATTTATATTAAATGCACAATGTATTTAAAAGTATTTAATTGGATAAGGATTAATGCTGTATTACTTAAAATCGCTTCGTAAATAAGCCATTATTTCTCGTAAAAAGTAAAGGATAAAAAATGGTTATTGTGGGTTATCCCTAAGAGATAGACTTTTTTGTAGACCTTTTTAAGGCGTACAATACTGTAGTATATTATTTTGATCTATTTCGTAGGGTTCAGCAAAACCGCAAAAAAATGTGTTTATTTACGACATCACATTACAAACCTCTAAAATTATCAGTGTTTCTCTACTATATTATGCATGTATTATACATATAAAACTTCCTCTTGAATTACTTTACTTATTAAAAAAAAACGCATTAAAATCCGTTGGGTACTTTTAAAGATCTAAGCATACATAAGGACAGAGGAGCGGGGTAAATGCGTTGTATGATTTCGTTACATAGCAACTCGCATGAAACGAACTTACCCTATCGTGCGTAAAGAAGTTTCACTTCAAAAAAACCTTCACAAGATTAAAAAAAAAAAAGAGAAAAGTGATACTGATTAAAAATTGAAAGGTTGGTAATCTATTGGACTGAAGATAATTTAAGTGACATTTTGGGTTTTTAATTACTAATAATTTAAGTAAATAAAGATGGTAGATATATATATCCAGGAGATTTATGTTAATTTTTCTGTTTAACGCAAAATTCCACTCTTAATATGTGAAAGTGCCTGTGACCAACATCTTCTAATTTGCATTAATAGAAGACGAACCAAGAAAGGTAAGTTACCTCATTTATTTAATTTTAAATCCTTTATATAAAAAAAATAGAATAAAACGGTCGAGGAAGACATATATACAATNCAGTTCTATTTGCCATGTAATAAGGAATAGTGGTTTGAAAAAGTTAAATTGCTTGCTAGGTTCAGTCTTGTACGTTATACAAAAATATGCGCATTTATTTAAAAATAATTTACTATTAGCCATTAACATTACCACTAGCAGTTTATATACATTAGAAATTCTAAAAATCTAGAATTCCCTCAAGAATAATTTATTTTGATAACTACTAGGTATACTTATATAGAAAATATCCGTAATACAACTTTCAAAACGATAAAATTTATGGCTAGTCGAGATCGGTCGTTATGCGTCAATTTTTTGTAATAAAATATCTTTTTTAACACAAAGAATTTTTGATTTTTAATACTTTATACTTTGGTTTATTCTTGTCCTTTAATTTTATGTATGTATTTTAATTCATGAAGGATCATCCATAAAATATGAACGTACGCAAAAAGAGCAAGGGGGGGGACAATTACCTGCCGTGATTAAATATGGCGAAGGGGGAGAGGGTCCAAAGAAAGCTGATGTCACGTCACGTGTAAAATAGGTGCATTAATTTTATTTCTATCATTTAAATATCATAGTTCTTATTTTTATTACTAAGGGTGGGGTCAAATTATTAGGTTTGGGTTGAAAAATTATTAGCGAAACAAAGGGGTTGGAGGGGTAAAGGATGCGTAAATTTGGTTGGAGGATTTTATAGATGATCCTAATACTTCATATTGATTTTTTCAACATGAATATATGATGCTTATATGTTTTAAGTAAGGGCCACGTCTAATTGAAATGACGATAAGTTTTACAACAAGTGAATCTGTTCAAAATAAAATTAAATCATTTAAATGAACTAATTGCAAAACTTATTAATTAATTTCAAACAGCAACGCTTTGTTCATTCTTTGATAATGTTATATAAGGATAATTTAAAATTGGTTCTTTCTAAAACTACCCTCAGTAAGTTTCATTTAAATAAAATTATCATATAAAAAAATTTGATAGGAACTTACCAAAACTTTCTGGAGAACTACTGTGCATGCCTGAAGGTCCAGGAATCAGTCCTTGTAATCCTGTAGCAAAAGAAGGAATAATTGTAACTACAATTATACAAACTGCACGATCCACTGTTACATAAATAAATAAATCAATATACAGGGTGAATCAAAAGGTACTTCTCTTAATTCTTTTACGCGATGTAACATTATATAATTGTAATTACATTCAGGATTATTGAGTGAAAAGCAATTAAAACTTAAATTAAATAAATGTAGTTTTATTAAAAAGACATTTCTTTCAGAATTATAGCTTTTTATTAGTAAATGGTAATATAAGTGATGGGAACATACCTTGAAGACCTAACAGTGCACCGGGAAACGATGGTGCTCTGTGTTGATCCATAAGACCTCCGTTGGTGTTATATGGGTGTTGATCATCCAACATTGGATAATCGGAAGGTTCAGTCTTTGGAGTTACTCGATCGCCATGGTCGCTCATGGCTGTATCACTACTATTGCTTTCTTCGCCCGTCGATTGGGCTTGTAGGGAAGAATCGGATTGGCCCTTCTGCAACAACAAATGAAATTGCTGCGTATTACAAAAAAAAAACAAAAGACTAATTTTGAACTCACACTTGCACTAGTATGTACAGTCGGCCCAGCTTCAAGAGCTTGACCAAGTAGAGATTCTCGCATATCACCATTGTTATTATTCCCTCTCGAAGGACTTCTCCCTCTCTCTGGACTGTTGTACGATCTTCGTATTTGATCTGAACTCCTGGATCGTTTCATAGGAGGAGGAGATAACCCACTCGATCTAAGAGAATCTGGATTGTCCGGACCCCAATTCAGTGACGTCGAATTCTGCGAATATATAAAACAGTTCACGCAACAAGACGACAACTACTTATGAACAGTTGATTTCACTTTTCTCTACTTCTTCAGTTATTTTGTAATTGTTAAACTATAAATAAATTTAATTACAAGTAGATTATTTAATTAAATAATTATCAGCACGGTAACATTCGTATAATAGTTACACCCACAACCAACTGCAATCGTAATCTGCCAAAATGGATCATTTTATATTTATTTTTTGACAAAAACTCCACTGCTGTCGCCGTATACGCTCTATCAAATATTGAGTGATAACAACTGCTTCTAAATAAAAAAATTATTGTTTTTGTATTACACTTACGGGTGATATTTTATCGTCAGATCCAGCAACGATTCTTGTACCCGCCGAAACATCTGCTAAACCCCTGACTTCTAGCATTTGTGCAGTCTTTAAAAAATCGGTTAATTGTTCTTGGCCTATGTGTACTTCTCCATTATACATAAACCTGCAATAAAGGAAAAACTTTCACCAAATGATTTATGATTAGAACCTTAGAAGTTACTTATAACAAATAGACAAATAGGATTTGTAAATAAATGAAACCTTAGCGCCTTTTCTGTCTTTAACTACTGCTTTCTTTCTACTTTGTGCTGTTTATATAAGAAAACATTTCTTATTTTACTGACAAAACCCCATTTTAAAACGGTAAGACGCTGTAGTAGCTGCGCAAAGGTTAGAAGTGAGCTCAATTGATGACCCATGGCTATATCTTTACAGGGAAGTGCGACCTTTATCAATCTTAATGACCGTAGTCACAACAATATTTTTTAACTAAATTTGCAGGGTAGATTTTTATTAATATACCGTTTTGACTCAATCAATTTACATGAAATATATTATCATCATCATCATCATCATCATCATCATCATCATCAGGTCGTCAGTACTAAGACTGGCTCGACACGCACCTCCACTCATTCTTATCCTGAGCTAATCTTCGCATTTTCCTAAAACTAGAACATCCCACATCCATAATTATTTGCGAACAGTAATCTAATCTAGGCCTACCTCTAACCCTCCTAACTCCCGTTTCTGCCTCTAAAATGTCTCTGACTAGACCTTCATGCCTGAGAATGTATCCTACTAACATATCTCGTTTATTTGTTATTGACTTCCATAGAGCCCTCTGTTCTCCTATTCTTTCTAATACCTCTTCATTTCTAACCTTTCCTACCCAAGTTATCATCACCATTTGCCTGTAACACCACATTTCGAACGCTTCTAACCTTTTCTTTTCATGTTTTGCGCCCGTACAGCGCCGTGCTCCAAACATAAACCTTTAGCAACCTTTTTCGAATTTCTAAATTAACCCTTTGCGAGCATAGAAGTGACTTCTTTTTATTGAAGGCGATTTGTCCCAGAGCTATCCTCTGTTTGATATCTCTACTACTCCTTCCGTCCTGACTTATCTGACTTCTTATACGAGGGTGGATTGATAAGTTTCCGGCCTAACCAAGAGATGACGCCACTAGGCCTACCTTGAGGTGACATTCTATAGTACCATCCTTGGATAGCTTG